TTAATAAAAAGTATTAGTCAGAGGGCTGAAGAGGGTTTGTTGAGGTGGTTTGGTCATTTAGAGAGAATGGATCAAAGTAGAATGACATGGAGAGCGTATAAATCTGTAGGGGAAGGAAGACGGGGTAGGGGTCGTCCTCGAAAAGGTTGGAGGGAGGGGTGAAGGAGGTGTTGTGGGCAAGGGGTTTGGACTTCCAGCAAGCGTGCGTGAGCATGTTAGATAGGAGTGAATGGAGACAAATGGTATTTGGGACCTGACGATCTGTTGGAGTGTGAGCAGGGTAATAGTTACTGAAGGGATTCAGGGAAACCAGTTATTTTATATAACCGGACTTGAGTCCTGGAAATGGGAAGTACAATGCCTGCACTCTAAAGGAGGGGTTTGGGATATTGGCAGTTTGGAGAGATATATTGTGTATTTTTATACATATATATACTTCTAAATTGTTGTATTCTGGGCACCTCTGCAAAAACAGTGATTATGTGTGAGTGAGGTGAAAGTGTTGAATGATGAAAGTATTTTTGGGGGGGATTTTCTTTCTCTTTGGATCACCCTGCCTCAGTGGGAGATGGCCGACTTGTTGAAAAAAAAAAAATTGTTAAATGTTGATGAAGATAGGGAAGCTGTGATTTCATGTATAGGGCAAGGAGGAATAACATCTTGTAGGAGTGGGGAAGAGCCAGTTGTGAGTGTGGGGGAAGTTCGTGAGGCAATGGGTAGAATGAAAGGGGGTAAGGCAGCTGGGATTGATGGGATAAAGGTAGAAATGTTAAAAGCAGGAGAGGATATAATTTTAGAGTGGTTGGTGCTATTATTTAATAAATGTATGAAAGAGGGTAAGGTACCTAGAGATTGGCAGAGAGCATGCATAGTTCCTTTGTATAAAGGCAAAGGGGACAAAAGAGAATGCAAAAATTATAGGGGAATAAGTGTGTTGAGTATACCTGGTAAAGTGTATGGTAGAGTTATTATTGAAAGAATTAAGAGTAAGGCAGAGAGTAGGATAGCAGATGAGCAAGGAGGCTTTAGGAAAGGTAGGGGGTGTGTAGACCAAGTGTTTACAGTGAAACATTTAGGTGAACAGTATTTAGATAAGGCTAAAGAGATTTTTGAGGCATTTATGGATTTGGAAGAGGCTTATGACAGGGTGGATAGGGATGCAATGTGGCAGATGTTGCAGGTGTATGGTATAGAAGGTAGGTTACTGAAAGCAGTGAAGAGTTTTTATGAGGAGAGTGAGGCTCAGGTTAGAGTATGTAGGAGAGAGGGAGATTATTTCCCAGTAAAAGTAGGCCTTAGACAAGGATGTGTGATGTCACCATAGTTGTTCAATGTACAGATAGATGTGGTTGTAAGAGTGAATGCTAGGGTGTTGGCAAGAGGTGTGGAGTTAAAAGATAAAGAATCACACACAAAGTGGGAGTTGTCACAGTTGCTCTTTGCTGATGACAGTGCTTTTGGGAGATTCTGAAGAGAAGTTGCAGAGGTTGGAAGATGAATTTACTAGGGTATGTAAAAGAAGAAAATTAGAAGTGAATATAAGAAAGAGTAAGGTTATCAGGATAACAAAAAGATTAGGTGACAAAAGATTGGATATCAGATAGGAGAGAGAGAGTATGGAAGAGGTGAATGTATTCACATATTTAGGAGTGGATGTGTCAGCAGATGGGTCTATGAAGGATGAGGTGAATCACAGAATTGATGAGGGGAAAAAGGTGAGTGGTGCACTTAGGAGTCTGTGGAGACAAAGAACTTTGTCTGTGGAAGCAAAGAGGGGAATGTATGAGAGTATAGTTGTACCAACGCTCTTATATGGGTGTGAAGCATGGGTGATAAACGTTGAAATGAGGAGAAGGCTGGAGGCAGTGGAGATGTCATGTCTAAGGGCAATGTGTGGTGTGAATATAATGCAGAGAATTCGTAGTTTGGAAGCTAGGAGGAGGTGCAGGATTACAAAAACTGTTGTCCAGAGGGCTGAAGAAGGGTTGTTGAGGTGGTTCGGACATGTAGAGAGAATGGAGCGAAACAGAATGACTTCAAGAGTGTATCAGTCTGTAGTGGAAGGAAGGCGGGGTAGGGGTCGGCCTAGGAAAGGTTGGAGGGAGGGGGTAAAGGAGGTTTTGTGTGCGAGTGGCTTGGACTTCCAGCGGGCATGCGTGAGCGTGTTTGATAGGAGTGAATGGAGACAAATGGTTTTTAATACTTGACGTGCTGTTGGAGTGAAGGAGGGGTGTTAATGTTGCAGTTTAAAAACTGTAGTGTAAAGCACCCTTCTGGCAAGACAGTGATGGAGTGAATGATGGTGAAAGTTTTTTTTTTGGGGGCCACCCTGCCTTGATGGGAATCGGCCAGTGTGTTAATAATAAAAAAAAACTTGACGTGCTGTTGGAGTGCGAGCAAAGTAGCTTTTATGAAGGGATTCAGGGAAACCGGCAGGCCGGACTTGAGTCCTGGAGATGGGAAGTACAGTGCCTGCACTCTGAAGGAGGGGTGTTAATGTTGCAGTTTAAAAACTGTAGTGTAAAGCACCCTTCTGGCAAGACAGTGATGGAGTGAATGATAGTGAAAGTTTTTCTTTTTTGGGCCACCCTGCCTTGATGGGAATCGGCCAGTGTGTTAATAATAAAAAAAACTTGACGTGCTGTTGGAGTGTGAGCAAAGTAACATTTATGAAGGGATTCAGGGAAACTGGCAGGCCGGACTTGAGTCCTGGAGATGGGAAGTAGTGTCTACACTCTGAAGGAGGGGTGTTAATGTTGCAGTTTTATAACTGTAGTGTAAAGCACCCCTCTGGTAAGACAGTGATGGAGTGAATGATGATGAAAGTTTTTCTTTTCGTGCCACACTGCCTTGGTGGGAATCGGCCAATGTGTTAATAATAAATAAATATATAAAAAAAAAAGAAAATTACAAAGCAGACTACACTAATGGGATTCTTCTTGAAAGGTACACCCCAGACCCCTACCCATGCAAGTCGTACCATTTCCTCACTGTCATCTCACTTACCTGGGCCCTTTACAGTTCCTGATAACCCTACTGACAACTCCAATGATGATACCCCTCACTTATTGACCAGTTTGCTTAACAACCTAATTGTAGGAATGGAACTCGGTCGTTAAGTGAGGGGTGCCTGTGTAAATATCTTATTTAAAGTGAAAAAGAGCAGATCTAGTTATATATATAATTGGTATAATAACACCTTATGCCTGACCCAGGCTTCATGAGTAAGAAGACTCTGGAAACCCATCAAAGGTATGCACTGTATATGAAGGATATGCAGAACAGCTTTTATATGGACTGTTTCTCTCAGGGTTGAGCTTTATCAGTTGACTTGATAAAGCTCAGCCCAGAGTGAAGTGTAGTCTCAGTAGCCATACCTGTGGGTGGCACTATCTCTTTACATTCAATATAAGTATCACCTTAATCTCACTTTGATATAACTTTTAAACTAATTATCTTAGTGAATTTTGAGAAATATGTGTTGAGTATTATCCTTCACTGGAAGATAGGGTTATTTTTTTTTTCCCAACACATCAGCCATCTCCCACTGAGGCAGGGTGACCCAAAAAAGAAACACTTTCACCATCATTCAACACATGTGTGCAGGTAATTCATCCTATATCCACTAACCTGAAATGGCCTCATCACTTTTCACTCATCACTTTCTGCACTAATATATCTTTTTAAATGAGAATTCATTTTATAATTGAACAGTGTAGTTCCCTGGTAGATGATTTTGGAGCTTTTTTTTTGTGTTGGGTTCATCTTGGGACACTGAAGTGACAATGAATAAAAAAACTGCTACTGTTTCATCCTTTTATAGGACAGTCATCTCTATAAATTCTTGGTGAGCTATGTTCCTAGAGGTCTCATGAAATTAGACACTGCACGTAATACAAAATTAAGTCTTCATTATGTTGCGTTTGAGGCTTGGGCTCATTTTGTGTATCGTGTCTATAGTATATCACTTTAATCTGGATAATATTGACATTCATAAGAAATGATGACCAGAATAAGAAAAAGATTTGGACATAGATGAATCATTGAATCAGAAAAATGTTAGATAATTCAGTATATTTTCCAGTTGCCCTTTTTTAATAAAAAACATTTGATAATTGAAATCATGAATATGGAAGCCTGTAAATTATTGGGATGACTGTATTGTATATGATCATTCACCTAGCCTCACGAGCACTTTGTCAATGTAGCCTCCAGCCAGGCCAGGTCTTGGTAGGTACTTAGTATGTGGACCTAAGGAAAAAATTTTTTGTACAAAAAATTGTTTGGACTTTTTTTTCCCCAAGATTGCTGTATTTTTTAAATTATTTTAAATAATGCTCATGTAAAAATCATCTAAAACACCCAAAATAATTTCCCCACAGGGCCCCAATGAGTGGTAAGAATTTGTAGTCCAGAGAAAAAGATCTTTGTTTCTTTTCTGCTTGCTCTCTTTTCACCACATTTTCATCACTCTACTAAAACCCCCTCTATTTTAAATTAATTGAAGGGAAACCTTTTTTGAAATATTACTAATTTTTTCAGTTTTTTCTTAAATAAAAAACTTGACCCAATTCATTGCTTTGGTTGTTACTTTTCCTTTTAGGTCTGGGGGTGCAAGCACTTGTAAATACAAAAAAAGAACAGGCACTCAACAATAAAAAAAAATTCCAAATTTTTAAATTTTTATTATTATTATTATTATTATTTTTATTATTTATTATTTTTAAATTTATTACTATACTACTATTATTATCCCTTGAGATTTTTTTGGAAATAGGGCAAAAGGGTTTTAAAAAGACGGGGAATAATCTTTTTAAATTTATACTGCAGTAAAATTTTACCCTATTTAAAAAAACCCCTTGATCTAATTAATTGAATAAATTTCTCATCATTTTTTGGGGGTTTTGACAAAAAAAACCCACTTGTATCTAAATGCTTTTTCAAAAATTCCAGTTATATTGCATAATAGAAAATCCTTTTTACCCCTCAGCCCGGAGAAGAAAAAGTGTTCCATTTTTTGTAACTCGGTGTTTTTCGAGGGGTTTGAAAGACGGGGGGATGCAAGAAAAATTGGAAATTTACAAGTCTCGGGCCTTAGCACTGAAAAAACTAAACTAAAGAAATTTTTTGAATAAAGTAAGTTTTTTTTTTCCTTTAATTTTTTAATGAAAAGGGTAGAGGGAAATATTTTTTCTTTGGTCCCAAATCATGTTTCATTTTGTCTTTTGAAGGAGAGAATTTATACACAAATAATGCGCACATAGAAGAGAGGAGCTTACGACGATGTTTCGGTCCGACTTGGACCATTTACAAAGTCACAAGTCGGACCGAAACGTCGTCGTAAGCTCCTCTCTTCTATGTGCGGATTATTTGTGTATCATTCCAGTCACGGTATTGTGCCTTCTTTTGTTATTTGAGAGAATTTATACTTTTAAATAGGTGTCTGTTTCACTGAATATAATTAAAGTTTCAGATTTAGCATTCATAATACTTCTTTCCTGTTTTTATGTATACAGTGGACCCCTGCGAATTTGTAGTTCCGAATCCGCAGCTTCAGTAATTCATGGATTTTTCCTTAGAACCTGACTAATAATTGTTCTTGGATCTCCCCACAAATTCGCAGAATGTTTTTTTGGCATTTTTCAGGCAATATATACTTTTTTATGCATTTTAATGCTAAATAATAAGAAATATCTTCTTCTTTCTTTCAACGTACCAGCCGTATCCCACCGAGGTGGGGTGGCCCAAAAGGAAAAACGAAAGTTTCTCCTTTTAAATTTAGTAATATATACAGGAGAAGGGGTTACTACCCCCTTGCTCCCGGCATTTTAGTCGCCTCCGCTTACGGAGGAAGAATTCTGTTCCACTTCCCCATGAAGAATAACAGCTATATAATTTAATAATTTTGTAACATAAATATTAACATAAATTCAGCAAAATTTCCATATAAAATATAATGTATAAATTTTTACTAAATTAAATTATTACCATATTTTTACCATACATATACTATAGAAAATGGGGCTGCATGAATTATAGTATACCAAAGAAAACAGGCTTACATGAATTACAGTACATATGGGGGTAACATTGGTTTTTTACATTCTAGCACTGTGGGAGACATAACAGTACGGTACTGTATACGGGTTTATCTTAACATTTTTTTCTTAAGGGTGATGTATGAAGCTGAGTTTGAAATTTAATTAAAGTTTTGGGGGCATATTTAGGGTTTAAACTTTAAAAATAGGCATTTATATGCCTTTTTTAACAGTGTCCAGAATTCACGGTTTTTGCAAATTCACGGGTGGTCTTGGAACATAACCCCCACAAATATGTGGGGACCACTGTAATTATATAATCTTGTATATACAGTACTGTATATCTTTTTTCAGATCCTTATGAAGCAGAACAACTTGTCAAAGAAGTGGATATTCATTCTGTGACAGGACTGCTCAAGCTGTTCCTACGTGAGCTTCCTGAAGCACTCTACACAAGTGAATTGTACCCGCGATTTTTTGATGCCTTTAGTGCTACTGATCCTGAGTACAAGAAGACCACACTGCTCAAACTCTTTTCATCACTTCCTCAGTTAAATCAGTCTGTTATAGCATATCTCTTAGAACATTTAGTTAAGTAAGTAATAATAATTTTATTTTTTCTTAAAGTGCATCTTGTTAATATTTAGACTGTAATCTCTACCTAATTTGTGAATATTGTTGTTATTATTATAGTTGAACCCTGATAATTTACATTTCATATCTTCAAGGTTTATCTTGGTTCCCACTGTCTTTTTTATTTACTTGTTGCTTGGCTGTTCTCTGAGCCTGGCCCATGGCTCCAAGAGCAGTAAGACTCTTGAAACTCATCAAAGATTTTTTTTTTTTTAACAAGTCGGTTGTCTCCCACCGAGGCAGGGGGACCCAAAAAGAAAGAAAATCCCCACAAAGAAAATACTTACATCATCATTCAACACTTTCACCTCACTCACACGTAATCACAACAGTTTAGAAGCATATATGTACGTATAAAGATACACAACATATCCCTCCAAACTGCCAATATCCCAAACCCCCCCTTTAATGTGCAGGCATTGTACTTCCCATTTCCAGGACTCAAGGTATGAAGATATCTGTATTGACATCATTTTCAGGAACCTAATTCAGTGACTTACAGGGTTCAACTGTATTCACAAAAGAATGTGCAGGTTATAAAGCACTGTGTACTGCAATATATGTATGTATTGTATTTTATTTAGTGCTATTCTCATATGGATTATTCAATACAAAAAGTAGTGGGGAGCTGTTCTTCTTTTCACACATTATGGCAAAAAAAAGAAAAATAAACACCTTGACCAGTTAGTCTGGTTTTACTTGTGTCATAATTTATGAGGAGAACCTTTAAAAATAGACATACAACAGGAATATTTGATATTGGTAAGTTGAAAGTAAATATATGGGACCAAGAGATAATAGGTGAGACCTAATAATAATAATATAACAATAATACAGTGGAACCTTGACTTACGAATGTCCCAACTTATGAGCTTTTTGAGATACAAGCTCGCTGTATAGCCCTTGTGGCTTAGCGCTTCTTTTTGATTATAATAATAATAATAATAATTGAGATACAAGCTGTCCCTGGGTCGATTTTTTGCTCTGAGTTACGAGCCAACATTTGAGTTACAAGCCAGCCCCCCCCCCCTCCCTCTTCCCCCTTAACCCAAAATCTGGACACCTCGCTTGTTTATCTATGATTTCATGCTTTAATTCATGGAAATCATTCTCTTTGTCTTCTCAGCAATAATATAATAATAAAAATTATTTTAGGTAGTAGGTTGATAGACAGCAACCGCCCAGGGAGTTACTACCGTCCTGCCAAGTGAGTGTAAAATGGAAGCCTGTAATTGTTTTGCTGCCGTCTTTTTATTCTGTCTCGTACACATGCAAGATTTCAGATACATCTTGATGCTGGTACATCATAACACAATTGACAAACGCAGCTGCCTTGTAGCAGAGAAAGACTGGACAGGTATGAATTAGGAATGCTGGGATGTTGGGGGGTGGTGTCGGGGAGTTGTAGAGGATTGCTCCCCGGCTGCTCCACAACAAGGTGGCTGCTTGAGCAAAAGGTATTTTTTTTTTCCTTCCCACAACCTGAACCATGTTAAATTAATTATACGATGTGCTACATAAAATTGTGCAGCAATTCTTCAGTGGTGGTCTACTGTATTATTATAATAATGATAGAGCTTCAGGGTGTCACTCAGTACCCACGTCGGCCGTCTCCCACCAAGGCAGGGTGGCCCGAAAAAGAAAAACTTTCACTATCATTCCCTAAATTAATGATAATAATAATAATTATGTAGTAGTAAGTTGGTAGACAGCAACCACCCAGGGAAGTACTACCGTCCTGCCAGATGACTGTGAAACAGAAACCTGTAACTGTTTTGCATGATGGTAGGATTGCTGGTTTCTTTTTCTGTCTCATAAACACGCTAGATAACAGGGATATCTTGCTACTCCTACTTACACTTTGGTCACACTTCACAGACACGCACATGCATATATATATACATACATCTAGGTTTTTCTCCTTTTTCTAAATAGGCGACTAAAATGCCGGGAGCAATGGGCTAGTAACCCCTTCTCCTGTAGACATTTACTAAAAAAAGAGAAGAAGAAAAGCTTTATAAAACTGGGATGCTTGAATGTGCGTGGATGTAGTGCGGATGACAAGAAACAGATGATTGCTGATATTATGAATGAAAAGAAGTTGGATGTCCTGGCCCTAAGCGAAACAAAGCTGAAGGGGGTAGGGGAGTTTCGGTGGGGGGAAATAAATGGGATTAAATCTGGAGTATCTGAGAGAGTTAGAGCAAAGGAAAGGGTAGCAGTAATGTTGAAGGATCAGTTATGGAAGGAGAAAAGAGAATATGAATGTGTAAATTCAAGAATTATGTGGATTAAAGTAAAGGTTGGATGCGAAAAGTGGGTCATAATAAGCGTGTATGCACCTGGAGAAGAGAGGAATGTAGAGGAGAGAGAGAGATTTTGGGAGATGTTAAATGAATGTATAGGAGCCTTTGAACCAAGTGAGAGAGTAATTGTGGTAGGGGACCTGAATGTTAAAGTAGGAGAAACTTTTAGAGAGGGTGTGGTAGGTAAGTTTGGGGTGCCAGGTGTAAATGAAAATGGGAGCCCTTTTATTGAACTTTGTATAGAAAGGGGTTTAGTTATAGGTAATACATATTTTAAGAAAAAGAGGGTAAATAAGTATACAAGATATGATGTAGGGCGAAATGACAGTAGTTTGTTGGATTATGTATTGGTAGATAAAAGACTTGAGTAGACTTCAGGATGTACATGTTTATAGAGGGGCCACAGATATATCAGATCACTTTTTAGTTGTAGCTACACTGAGAGTGAAAGGTAGATGGGATACAAGGAGAATAGAAGCATCAGGGAAGAGAGAGGTGAAGGTTTATAAAATAAAAGAGGAGGCAGTTAGGGTAAGATATAAACAGCTATTGGAGGATAGATGGGCTAATGAGAGCATAGGCAATGGGGTCGAAGAGGTATGGGGTAGGTTTAAAAATGTAGTGTTGGAGTGTTCAGCAGAAGTTTGTGGTTACGGGAAGGTGGGTGCGGGAGGGAAGAGGAGCGATTGGTGGAATGATGATGTAAAGAGAGTAGTAAGGGAGAAAAAGTTAGCATATGAGAAGTTTTTACAAAGTAGAAGTGATGCAAGGAGGGAAGAGTATATGGAGAAAAAGAGAAAGGTTAAGAGAGTGGTCAAGCAATGTAAAAAGAGCAAATGAGAGAGTGGGTGAGATGTTATCAACAAATTTTGTTGAAAATAAGAAAAAGTTTTGGAGTGAGATTAACAAGTTAAGGAAGCCTAGAGAACAAATGGATTTGTCAGTTAAAAATAGGAGAGGAGAGTTATTAAATGGAGAGTTAGAGGTATTGGGAAGATGGAGGGAATATTTCGAAGAATTGTTAAATGTTGATGAAGATAGGGAAGCTGTGATTTTGTGTATAGGGCAAGGAGGAATAACATCTTGTAGGAGTGAGGAAGAGCCAGTTGTGAGTGTGGGGGAAGTTCGTGAGGCAGTAGGTAAAATGAAAGGGAGTAAGGCAGCTGGGATTGATGGGATAAAGATAGAAACGTTAAAAGCAGGTGGGGATATAGTTTTGGAGTGGTTGGTGCAATTATTTAATAAATGTATGGAAGAAGGTAAGGTACCTAGGGATTGGCAGAGAGCATGCATAGTTCCTTTGTATAAAGGCAAAGGGGACAAAAGAGAATGCAAAAATTATAGGGGGATAAGTTTGTTGAGTATACCTGGTAAAGTGTATGGTAGAGTTATTATTGAAAGAATTAAGAGTAAGACGGAGAATAGGATAGCAGATGAACAAGGAGGCTTTAGGAAAGGTAGGGGGTGTGTGGACCAGGTGTTTACAGTGAAACACATAAGTAAACAGTATTTAGATAAGGCTAAAGAGGTCTTTGTGGCATTTATGGATTTGGAAAAGGCGTATGACAGGGTGGATAGGGGGCAATGTGGCAGATGTTGCAGGTGTATGGTGTAGGAGGTAGGTTACTGAAAGCAGTGAAGAGTTTTTACGAGGATAGTGAGGCTCAAGTTAGAGTATGTAGGAAAGAGGGAAATTATTTCCCAGTAAAAGTAGGCCTTAGACAAGGATGTGTGATGTCACCGTGGTTGTTTAATGTATTTATAGAGGTGTTGTAAGAGAAGTAAATGCGAGGGTCTTGGCAAGAGGAGTGGAGTTAAAAGATAAAGAATCACACATAAAGTGGGAGTTGTCACAGTTGCTCTTTGCTGATGACACTGTGCTCTTGGGAGATTCTGAAGAGAAGTTGCAGAGATTGGTGGATGAATTTGGTAGGGTATGCAAAAGAAGAAAATTAAGAGTGAATACAGGAAAGAGTAAGGTTATGAGGATAACAAAAAGATTAGGTGATGAAAGATTGGATATCAGATTGGAGGGAGAGAGTATGGAGGAGGTGAATGTATTCAGATATTTGGGAGTGGACGTGTCAGCGGATGGGGATATGAAAGATGAGGTGAATCATAGAATTGATAAGGGGAAAAGGGTGAGTGGTGCACTTAGGAGTCTGTGGAGACAAAGAACTTTGTCCTTGGAGGCAAAGCGGGAATGTATGAGAGTATAGTTTTACCAACGCTCTTATATGGATGTGAAGCATGGGTGATGAATGTTGCAGCGAGGAGAAGGCTGGAGGCAGTGGAGATGTCATGTCTGAGGGCAATGTGTGGTGTGAATATAATGCAGAGAATTCGTAGTTTGGAAGTTAGGAGGAGGTGCGGGATTACAAAAACTGTTGTCCAGAGGGCTGAGGAAGGGTTGTTGAGGTGCTTCGGACATGTAGAGAGAATGGAGCGAAACAGAATGACTTCAAAAGTGTATCAGTCTGTAGTGGAAGGAAGGCGGGGTAGGGGTCGGCCTAGGAAAGGTTGGAGGGAGGGGGTAAAGGAGGTTTTGTGTGCGAGGGGCTTGGACTTCCAGCAGGCATGCGTGAGCGTGTTTAATAGGAGTGAATGGAGACAAATGGTTTTTAATACTTGACCTGCTGTTGGAGTGTGAGCAAAGTAACATTTATGAAGGGGTTCAGGGAAACCGGCAGGCCGGACTTGAGTCCTGGAGATGGGAAGTACAGTGCCTGCACTCTGAAGGAGGGATGTTAATGTTGCAGTTTAAAAGCTGTAGTGTAAAGCACCCTTCTGGCAAGACAGTGATGGAGTGAATGATGGTGAAAGGTTTTCTTTTTCGGGCCACCCTGCCTTGGTGGGAATCGGCCAGTGTGATAATAAAAAAAAAATAATAATTATAATAATAATAATAATGATAGAGCTTCAGTTCCCTAAATTAATAATAATAATAATAATTATAAAAATGATAGAGCTTCAATTCCTTAAATTAATAATAATAATAATAATAATGCATAATACATACGTAATCTATAGGGGAAGGAAGGAGGGGTAGGGGTCGTCCTCGAAAGGGTTGGAAAGAGGGGGTAAAGGAGGTTTTGTGGGCGAGGGGCTTGGACTTCCAGCAAGCATGCATGAGCGTGTTAGATAGGAGTGAATGGAGACGAATGATACTTGGGACCTGACGATCTGTTGGAGTGTGAGCAGGGTAATATTTAGTGAAGGGATTCATGGAAACCTGTTATTTTCATATAGTCGGACTTGAGTCCTGGAAATGGGAAGTACAATGCCTGCACTTTAAAGGAGGGGTTTGGGATATTGGCAGTTTGGAGGGATATGTTGTGTATCTTTATACGTATATGCTTCTAAACTGTTGTATTCTGGGCACCTCTGCAAAAACAGTGATAATGTGTGAGTGTGGTGAAGGTGTTGAATGATGATGAAAGTATTTTCTTTTTGGGGATTTTCTTTCTTTTTTGGGTCACCCTGCCTCGGTGGGAGACGGCCGACTTGTTAAAAAAAAAAAAAAAAAATACGTAATAATAATTCAGATTGATTCTGCTAGTTGGCAAAGCTGGTAAGCAGTAAACATGTTTACATCCCTGTGGGGGCAGTTCTCTCGTGCTTGTTTGCATTTTTTACAGTCATTTGGCCAAATTTCTTTTTTCTAACCATGGGTCCTAGTGATCTACTGCAGTTAGCCTCAAAAATACTCTGTTTTCTCTTACAGTAAGAGCATGGGAAGGGGTAAAGGAGGTTTTGTGTGCGAGGGGCTTGGACTTCCAGCAGGCATGCGTGAGCGTGTTTGATAGGAGTGAATGGAGACAAATGGTTTTTAATACTTGACGTGCTGTTGGAGTGTGAGCAAAGTAACATTTATGAAGGGATTCAGGGAAACCGGCAGGCCGGACTTGAGTTCTGGAGATGGGAAGTACAGTGCCTGCACTCTGAAGGAGGGGTGTTAATGTTGCAGTTTAAAAACTGTAGTGTAAAGCACCCTTCTGGCAAGACAGTGATGGAGTGAATGATGGTGAAAGTTTTTCTTTTTCGGGCCACCCTGCCTTGGTGGGAATCGGCCGTGTGTGATAATAAAAAAAAAAAAAAAAAAAAAAAAAAAAAAAATAAAAATAATAATAATAATTAATAATAATAATAATTAATAATAATTATTATTACAGTATTATTATTATTATAATAACAAACGCCGCCAACTCAGTGTATTGTTTACCTCGCTGTGGGAGTAGTTCTCTCATGTTTTGCTTACATTTTTGACAGTCATTTGGCCAAATTTTGTTTTTCTAAGCATGGGTCCTAAGAAAGTAAGTGTAAAGGACAATGCTGAGAAGAAAAAGAGGATGATTTCCAGGGAATTAAAGCATGAAATCATAGATATACAAGCGAGGTGTCCAGGTTTTGCATTGATGGGGAAGCAGGGGGAGCTGGCTCGTAACTCAAATGTTGGCTCGTAACTCAGAGCAAAAAATCAACCCAGGGACGGCTTGTATCTCAAAAAACTCGTACATTAGGACACTCGTAAAGTCAAGGTTCCACTCTACATGTACAAGGTATACAGGCCTAGCTGACATCGGTGATATACTGCTATATAGAAGGTCACTTGTTATGCAGAACATTTAGGGCAAATTAGGTCACTTTTGTCCCAGGATGCGTCCCACACCAGTCAACTAACACCCGGGTACCCATTATACTGATGGGTGAACATAGACAACCAGTATAAGGAAACACGCCCAATGTTTCTACTCTTGCCGGGAATCAAACCTGGACCCTCAGCATGTGAAGTGAGAGCTTTTGTCACCAGGCCACAGGCCACCATAGACAATAGGTGGGACCTAGAGATAATGGGTGGGACCTAGAGATAATGGGTGGGACCTAGAGATAATGGGTGGGACCTAGAGATAATAAATGGGACCTGGAGATTATAGGTAGGACCTAGAGATAATAGGTGGAACCTAGAGATAAAGGTAGGACCTAGAGATAATAGGTGGAACCTAGAGATAAAGGTAGGACCTAGAGATTATAGGTGGGACCTAGAGATAATAGGTGGGACCTAGAGATAATAGGTGGGACCTAGAGATAATAGGTAGGACCTAGAGATAATAAATGGGACCTAGAGATTATAGGTGGGACCTAGAGATAATAGGTGGAACCTAGAGATAAAGGTAGGACCTAGAGATAATAGGTGGAACCTAGAGATAATAAATGGGACCTAGAGATAATAGGTGGAACCTAGAGATAAAGGTAGGACCTAGAGATAATAGGTGGAACCTAGAGATAAAGGTAGGACCTAGAGATAATAAATGGGACCTAGAGATAATAGGTGGGACCTAGAGATAAAGGTAGGACCTAGAGATAATAAATGGGACCTAGAGATAATAGGTGGAACCTAGAGATAAAGGTAGGACCTAAAGATAATAGGTGGGACCTAGAGATAAAGATCCAGTAGATAAGGCCATCATTAAGCTGGTGAAGTGAATCCTTGATTCATGATTTTCTCCTTGATATTAACCAATAAATTATAATTAATGGATTGATTATAATTTTTGAATTAGTCTTAGTACATGCAGGAACCACTTTGCTTTATGGTGTTTCGGTAATGCAGCAGTTTTCAATTATAATTATTTTTCATTTATTCAGACTTCCTACAAAAAATAGTGGTACCTCGGTATACGACCAGCTCCCTACTCGAATAAAGCTCAGCACTTGACCAAGCAAATATGACCTGCCAGAACTTTGCTGTAAACTACTTCGTATTTCTTCGCATTTTTTGGTGTTTTTTTTTTTGTATTGTATAAATAAGTCACCATGGGGCCTACAAAAATTAGTGATAACAGCCATCCAAACAGAAAATTGGTTGGGAAGAATGAAGCGGCACTCGAACAGCCTTCTGGAATGAATTAAGATCACATACCGAGGTTCCACTGTATATTCACCACTCACTATAAGCTAAGGATAAAAATATTTTAAGGAAAGTAATGCGTATACTGTATGTGTATTTTCTAGGCCTAGCTCTGTTGCTCATTGAAAGTATGATAGTGTAAACTTGTTATCAGCCTTTTATATCTATTTGAAAGTGAAAATGGTTATTTTTCACTGTACAGCAATTTTTGCTTTACAGCAGTAACCCTAAACCTAACCTGCTGTATAAGCAGGGCCCTCTTGTATACCTACAGTACTTGAGCTTGTAAGGTTTATAAATGTATAAGTCAGTAACAAAGTTAATCTCTTAAAAAAATTCCAACAGTTTTGATTTCTTTTACAGAATTCATGAAATGGAGCATCTAAACAAAATGTCACTGCACAATCTAGCAACAGTGTTCGGCCCAACACTCTTGCGACCTGGAGCTAAAGCTGGAAACCCGTCACCTGCTGAAAAATTAGCAGCCGGGACTGTTGATGTTATGGCCCAGGCAGGAATTCTTCACTTCTTCCTCACTCGACGTGCAAATGGCGAACCAATCCAAGTTGTTAATCAGTGAATATAATTATAGAGTTCTATATTATATTGACATGTGTTAATTAATGCAATTTTGCAGTTCTGTCACCTTTTAAATCTAAAGATCAGATATAATATCTTATACGTATATGGGAAAAAATATATGTGTATCTACTGTACTGGACTACTGCATCAAATGTTCCATGTATTACATTTTGTATTCAATTACACTAATGAATAGTTAAAAGGATCATTATGTTTACACAATTCTTATTTTCCAATTTTGGCGAGAATTATTTGGTTTTTAAAACTAAACATAAAATGTGATCTCATTGTATGACTTATGAAAGCTTAGATTTTAATATGTATATTATAGAAGGATAGATCATCTGTGTTACTGAGTTTGTTCTAAATATATATTCGAAAATCTATATCTGTTAAACAGTTACCAACATTATTTCTACATCCCAAATAAATGTTAGATTTTTCTTATCCAGTATCTGTGTTAGCTGATGGAATAGGTAATTAAAATTATATAAAATATTTATTTTAACAGCTCTTAAAGAATTGAGTTTGTATTGTGTCTGTTGCCAGAAAGAGAAGTAATAGCAAATATCTCATTGTATGACTTAGTGTCGAGAAGATGAGACACGTCACACAAGTCTGTCCATCTAGATAAACAAAACAATACAGTAATTTATAGAATTTTAGGCTTTTAAACTTGCTGTATTACTTCATTAAATGAAGCTGGTCTCTATGTTTCCTTGTTTCAGTTGGTGCAGTGATCACCATGTAAACTATTACAGTGGTCACCATATGAACTATTGCAGTGGTTATCATACTGTGATAAATTGGTATAGTGGTCACCATATAAACTATTGCAGTAGTCACCATATAAACTGGTGCAGTGGTCACTATATAAACTGGTGCAGTAGTCACCATATAAACTTATGCAGTGGTTGTCATATAAATGTTGCGGTGGTCACCATATGAACTGGTGCAGTGGTCACCATATAAACTGGTGCAGTAGTCACCATATAAACTGGTGCAGTGGTCACTATATAAACTGGTGCAGTAGTCACCATATAAACTTATGCAGTGGTTGTCATATAAATGTTGCGGTGGTCACCATATAAACTGGTGCAGTAATCATCATATAAACTGGTGCAGTGGTCACCATATAAACTGGTGCAGTGGTCACCATATAAACCAGTGCAGTGGTCACCATATAAACCGGTGCAGTGGTCACCATATAAACCGGTGCAGTGGTCACCATATAAACCAGTGCAGTGGTCACCATATAAGCCAGTGCAGTGGTCACCATATAAGCCAGTGCAGTGGTCACCATATAAACCGGTGCAGTGGTCACCATATAAACCAGTGCAGTGGTCACCATATAAACCAGTGCAGTGGTCACCATATAAGCCAGTGCAGTGGTCACCATATAAGCCAGTGCAGTGGTCACCATATAAGCCAGTGCAGTGGTCACCATATAAACTGGTGCAGTGGTCACCATATAAGCCAGTGCAGTGGTCACCATATAAGTCAGTGCAGTGGTCACCATATAAACCGGTGCAGTGGTCACCATATAAACCGGTGCATCACTCACCATATTCATATTCCATATTATAAGCAGAATTATTGTCAGTATACTGGTGTTAAATTTTTTCAGTTGTCTTAGATGTAAAATTGTTTTTGTTTACATTTCAGATTTTAACTATGAGAAAACAATTTTTAGTTTTTGTAGTAGTTTTTCAATTCATATAATTTTAAAATTCATATTGAATTTATATTCTGAATTGATGTATATATTAATGTTACACCAACATTAGTGTTAGACATGATTCATTCTATATGTATTAATATTATATTTGGTTCAGGGTGTTGATAATATTTCTACTGTATAAGGTGTAAAAAGTATACAGTGTAATCTTTCAGTCATATATATTTGGTTGAGCATTCCATTATGAAGGTACAATAGATTCAAAAACAAAAGATACAGTAACTGTCAACATTATCCAAACAATTTAATACAATACATAGGTGTTCCTTGCTTGATGCAGGTTTGTTGTGTGTAATTCCACTTATACCAGAAATTTGCAGTTTGTGAGTTTAATTTAAACTTACAATTAACATTCCTGTACAATTTGTCAGACACTACCACCTCTTTGTCTAATGTATTCACTTATCACTCTTGAGAATGAAATAAGCTTTTAATTAAACTCTTCATGGCTTATCTGCATCTTTTGCTGCCATCTGTCCCTTGGTTCTCCCATCTTGCATCTCAAACAGCCTATCCTTATCCATTCTGCCTTAATCCCCTGAGTCTTCTTCTTCTTTAAACACACCAGCCATATCCCACCAAGGCAGGGTGTCCCAAAAAGAAAAACGAAAGTTTCTCTTTTTAAATTCAGTAATTTATACAGGAGAAGGGGTTACTAGCCCCTTGCTCCCGGATTTTAGTCGCCTCTTACAACACGCATGGCTTACGGAGGAAGAATTCTGTTCCACCTTCCCATGGAGATACGAGGAAATAAACAAGAACAAGAACTAGAAAGAAAATAGAAGAAAACCCAGAGGGGTGTATATATACTATACATATATGCTTGTACATGTATGTATGTGACCTAAGTGTAAGTAGAAGTAGCAAGACATACCTGAAATCTTGCATGTTTATGAGACAGAAAAAAGGACACCAGCAATCCTACCATCATGTAAAACAATTACAGGCTTTCATGATGGTAGGATTGCTGGTGTCCTTTTTTCTGTCTCATAAACATGCAAGATTTCAGGTACGTCTTGCTACTTCTACTTACACTTAGGTCACACTACACATACATGTACAAGCATATATATACACACCCTTCTGGGTTTTCTGCTATTTTCTTTCTGGTTCTTGTTCTTATTTCCTCTTATCTCCATGGGGAAATGGAATAGAATTCTTCCTCCGTAAGCCATGCGTGTTGTAAGAGGTGACTAAAATGCCAGGAGCAAGGGGCTAGTAACCCCTTCTGTATAAATTACTAAATTTTAAAAGAGAAACTTTTCGTTTTTCTTTTTGGGCCACCCTGCCTCGGTGGGATATGGCCGGTTTGTCTTTTTTTTTTCAACAAGTCGGCCGTCTCCCACCGAGGCAGGGTGACCCAAAAATAAAGAAAATCCCCAAAAATAAAATACTTTCATCATTCAACACTTTCACCTCGCTTATACATAATCACTGTTTTTGCGAAGGTGCCCAGATACAACAATTTAGAAGCATATATGAAGATATATAACATATCCCTCCAAACTGCCAATATCACAAACCCCTTCTTTAAAGTGCAGGCATTGTACTTCCCATTTCCAGTACTCAAGTCTGGCTGTATAAAAAAAAAACAGTTTCCCTGAATACCTTCACTAAATATTACCCTGCTCACACTCCAACAGCTCATCAGGTCCCAAAAACCATTTATCTCCATTCACTCCTATCTAACACACTCACACATGCTTGCTGGAAGTTCAAGCCCCTCCTCCACACAACCTCTTATTCCCTGTCCCTCCAACCTTTTCAAGGATGACCCCTACCCCGCTTTCCTTCCCCTACAGATTTCTATGCTCTCCCCAGTCATTCTACTTTGATCCATTCTCTCTAAATGATCAAACCACCTCAACAACCTCTCTTCAGCACTCTAATACTTTTAGTAACTCCACAACTCTTCCTAATTTCCACACTCCGAATTCTTAGCATAATATTTACACCACACATTGCCCTTAAACAGGACATCTCCACTGCCTCCAGCTGCCTCCTTACTGCAGCATTTGCAACCCAAGCTTCACACCCATATAAGAGTGTTGGTACCACTATACTTTCATACATTCCCTTCTTGGCTTCCATGGATGATGTTTTTTTGTCTCCACAGATACCTCAATACACCACTCACCCTTTTTTTCTTCATCAGTTCTAAGGTTAACCTCATCCTTCATAAACCCATCCACTGACAAGTCAACTCCCAAATATCTGAAAACATTCACTTCTTCCATACTCCCTCTCTCCAATGTGATATCCAATTTTTCTTTATCTAAATTGTTTGATACCCTCATCACCTTGCTCTTATCTATGTTCACTTTCAGCTTTCTACCTTTACACACCCTCAACAGACTTATTCTCCTATAATTTTTACACTCTCTTTTGTCCCCTTTGCCTTTATACAAAGGAAGTACACATGCTCTCTGCCAGTCCCTAGGTACCTTACTTTCTTCCATACATTTATTAAGTAAAAACACTTATTTATAAACTTTAAAAGCTTATTGCATTTTATCACTGCACACACAAAAAGTAAGTGAGACTTATATTTTGTATAATAGAATAGCTGTGATGTAATTGTAACTTATTACTAAAGTAGTTTGACTGACCATTGCATGACAAGTAATGCTGGTTACAAGACCACTCTACTTTTATTAGTGAACTAAATATGAACAGAAAAATATGAGCTTTTCGTTGGCAAAAATAATTACTGTAGTTTCCCAATTCAAGAAACAAAACCAAGTTAGGCCTTACTTGTATTCGTGTTTTTCTATCTGCTTATATATAAAGTTGCCTTTATCTGCATTCAGGTATAAAATGCAGGATCTTCCTCAAGGATTTAGGCTATCAGCACTTTCATATTAGATGTTCTTAAGACCTGGTTGCAGTCCTCTGCTGGGAATATTTGTTAAATACATTTCATAATTGGATATAGGTAAAATTACTAATTGCAGCTTTGTGTTGCAGAAGTTGTGACTGTAGGAGAAGACTGTAGTTTGCCTTATTAAGTAAATATTCAGAAGCTCTTAGCAAAACGTGGACATATATAAAAGTTAGATAATATAGAAGCTTTTAAGTGAGACATGGTAAATTTAATTTTAAAGACTGTTGGGGTCCAAATATGCATGCATGATACTCCATAAAGTAAGGTAAAGAAGAGAACTTAGTGTTGGAGAAAGAATATGTTTGCAACAGAAATTCCTTCATGCCAAATGATACCATGGTAAAGAATTGTTATGCTTTGGCATATGCAATATTGCATTAGTAACACTAACTTCAGGACTGCTTCCTCAACTCACCATAACATATACTGTATCTTAATTATGTATAAATTATTCATACTGTAGCATTTAATAGCCTTGATAAGTTGAATGGAGTCTTAACCCTTTGACTGTTTTGGTCATATATATATGTCTTACGAGCCACCGTGTTTGACATGTATATACTCGAAAATTCTAGCGGCTTCAAATCAAGCAGGAGAAAGATGGTAGGTCCACATGTGAGAGAATGAGTCTGTGGTCAGTGTGCACCATATAAAAAAAATCCTGCAGCACGCAGTGTATAATGAGAAAAAAAAAAATCCGACCATTTTTTTGGATTAAAACGCCAAATTTGTGGTGTATTTTCGTATAGTATTTATGGTTGTATTCTCGTTTTCTTGGTCTCATTTCATAGAATGGAAAGCATATTATAGAAATAGAGGTGATTTTGATTGGTTTTACTATGAAAAGAACCTGGAAATGGAGCTCGAATTAGGGGAAATGTTTGATTTTTGCCAGTGTTCAAAAGTAAACGAATAATGTCATTGTCCAATAAATGTCCAACTAGCCATTCTAATATGCAGTCATGAATGGGTTGACATTATTTATACAATTATTACAATATTGCAGTAGTCTGCATAACAATAAATCTTCTATTTTTGTTTGAATAAAAATTCAAAATAGAAAGCAAAAGTAATATCAGAGGGGCCTGAAGATGTGACTGATGAACAAAGAAAATGTTATTTTAGAGCCAGGAATGTCTGCATTGTTCACTCTGGACCCTATTTTGAAATTGGCATATTTTTTAATTTGTGTGAAATTGGTCAAATTGTAAATTTCTGACCACGTTATTGGGTAGCTGAAATCGGTAAATGGGTAGTTTCTTGTAGTCAATCGATAGAGCAAATGGAGCTCTAAAGAAATATCTATGAGTTTGGGCGACTGGAACAATGGAATTAGCCAAAAATAGGGCTCGAAGTGGGTGAAATCGCCAATTCATAAATATCGGCAAGGTCGCTAACTTCGCGAGAGCGTAATTCTGTAGTTTTCCTTTTTTTTTTTCTTTTTTTTGTCATTACCATTGGGAAAAGATTATCATTTCATAAGAATTTTTTTTTTTTTTTTTTTTTTTTTTCAAATTTTTTTTGACACCAGAAGACACCTCAGGATTTGGGGTTTCGATGGTCAAGGGGTTAATTAACAATGGTAATGTATTGGATACATTTAATATAATGCTCTTTACACAATAGAAGGTTTCCTGTTTAATACAACATATATATGCATGTGAATATTTCTCTCAGCTATAAACTGCTGCAGCAGATGGGAATAGTTTAAGAAGTGTTCCCTGGGTCTCCATCAGAGTGGTGGTTTTTAGAATGACTTGTCCAAAGTCTCAGTCTTAAAAGCTATGAGGTATCTGTATCATGACATCAGTACATGTACACTCAGAAGTTTGTCTTACTCAGTGTATATACACTGAGACATATATATCTCTAGGAATATATACATTATGAGTTTATTTTAATCTCTCTCTTTTCGGGATTAATGCATTCTTGATTGGTGGTTTGCAATTGTTATTATTTTATTTTTATTTTATTTATATTATGATTATTATTATTTTCGTGATTATTGTTCTAATCAAAAAGAAGCACTAAAGCTATTATTTTCACGAGGAAGCGTTAAACTCCTATGAGTCATACAACGCCTGGTGTACATTGAGAATACTGTCTTAATGACCTTGGTGAGGTTGATGGGCTTTTAACTTGGCAGACCAAAATTTTATCTCATGACTGTATTATATTGGTATATATAAAAGGAATGAAAACCGTCATTCCATTATTGTTTGGAAATTTATGTTTTTGTACATATCGCTATGCCTTAAAGTTCACAACTCTTTAAATGTAATGAAGATTTTCTGAACTTTAGTTTATCCTCAGCCATTCCTCAAGTAATTTAAGGTTTTTGTTATTGATGTCTTTATGTATTATTACTTCACTGTAGAAACAATATTTTTTCATGTGAATTTTCACTGGGAATGTTGCCATATTTAGTGTTTGTATCGTGATTTTACTAATTTTTAATTTTAAGTCATGAGTACTGTGATAATTTTGAGTTGTGTGATAAAGCTGATTTTTATTTACCTGAATATATTTTGTAAAGAAAAGTAATATTTTTCTTTAAAATGTATTTTTTTCTGTTTTTACCTCTTTTGCTTTGAATGATTATTAAAAGTTAATATGTACTTTACAGCTTCCCACTGATTATTAAATCAATGTCTAACTAACTCTCAGGCAAATTTGTCAGAGGAATTGTACAAAATGGGAAATTGGTGATCACTTTGGCCTTTGTAATTTTTTTTATAATTTTGTGGCATGTAGAGAATTTTCATAGAGTATATCACATGTATGTCACATGTATGAGTACTGTCTAGCCATGAATATTATGTCAGGCGTACTCTAATAACAGTGCTTCTCATGAATTACAGTGTGTTCATAA